TGCTGCTCATGGTTGGCCTCACCCCCCAGGGACACTGCAGCCACCGCCGGCAGCACTGGGACATGCCTGGAACTGTCTGGTGCCACCTGGCATGGTGGGGAACCCTGGCTGGCTGAATCCCGCCGGTTGGCATGGGGCTGAGCGGGGCCAGGAGGTTGTCGCCCTCTGCTCACCCATTTCCTGGTGCCAGGGGATTCCTTGGGGCGCCGGGGGGCTGTGGGGAAAGCACATGGGTTACCACAGACTCCCTTGGGACACAGGGAGGGCCGTGGGGACAATACAGAGTTGACCAGCTTCCCCCCCCCTTAGGGTCTGGGGGCTTTGGGGACAACACAGGGGGGACCAGGGGCCCTTGATGAGATACCAGGGGACTATGGGGACAACGTAGGGGAGACCAGGTCCCTTCTTGGGATGCCAGGGCACTGTGGGGACATCACAGGAGTGACCCAGGCCCTTCTTGGGGTGCCAGGGTGCTGTGGGGACAACACAGGGGTGATTAGGGGCCCTCCTTGGGGTGGCAGGGGACTTTGGGGACAAGACAGAGGTGATCAGGGGCCCCCTTGGGGCACAGGGAGAGCTCTAGGGACAACGCAGGGGTCATCTGGGACCCCACTGGGGCAGGGGGAGGGCTGTGGGGACAACACAGGGGTGACTGGGGGCCCTCCTTGGGGTGCCAGGGGGCTTTGGGGACAAGACAGAGGTGATCAGGGGCCCCCTTGGGGCACAGGGAGAGCTCTAGGGACAACGCAGGGGTCATCTGGGACCCCACTGGGGCAGGGGGAGGGCTGTGGGGACAATGTGGGGGTGACTGGGGGCTCCCTTGGGGCATGTGGAAGATCTTGGGGACAATACAGGGGTGAGCGGGGCCACTTTGGGGCAGAGGAAAGGCCCATGAGAACAAAGCAGGAGTGACCAGGATCCCCCGTGGGTGACCGTGGGGCCAACGGGAGACTCACAGCTCCCTTCGCACCCATCCCTGGGGCAGGGCCACGCTCACCTCGCGCCCCACTGGTGCCCCGTGGGCGGTGGGAGGCCCGGGGGGGGCTGTCAGCGGGGGCGGGGGGC